AGTGGTGTATGATGAGTGGTGTATGATGAGTGGTGTATGATAAGTGGTGTATGAAGAGTGGTGTATTGAACAGCTGTTGAATGTCCGTAACACGGAAATTTTGCACACTAAACTTCCTTTGACTACACTGTTACTACACAAACACTAGATCATACACAGTACAACGAGAAACCTCCGATATCCGCTTGCATATCTAATATAGACACCTCCGATAGATTGTCAAGGGTTCTGGCATGAGCAGAGGACCGCAGAGGCGTTTACTGGTGGTCGGGAGCTCTGGCGTTGGCAAGAGCTCGGTGCCTGTGCTGCACAACGAAGGAAACAGTTGACATGTTCGTGAAGGCTTTCGTGTTCGGAAAGTTGACTGGCTGTTGGTTCAAGTGAAACTGGTATTCATCATGGTTGCAGCTTGATCCGTCGTCAAAACTCAGAGCCACTTCTGAGGTGCTTCGAGCAGTTGCGGGCTTGTGGAATCGTGGTAAAGGCGCGTTCAAAAAGTACAAGGGTCACAAGAGGAGCTGTTGTTCAGAGAGGCATCGAGAGACTATGAACATGTCAGCTCCACATAGCATTGCCATTGACTTAGCAATCTGAAGCTCAAATGTCCTCATTTGCAGATGGTAGGGAGTTAGGATTCAAAGAATCCAGCCGATTTGAACCGATGCCGCCACACAGTTCATGCACTAAGTCCAAAAGTGTTTTCTTGTGTGGGATGGGCGAAGGCAGTATCCTGCGGCCATCTGCTTCAGAAATGTCGGGGGCCTTGTGATTTTGGAACAAAGCGCCGCGCAATTCCAGACAGACAAACAGTTTGCTGCCCCCTTGGTGCAGGCTGTTTCTTCCTCAAAGGTGCGCTTGCTGCTGAGCTGTAGCGGCCAGAAAAGCGGAGGAACAGCAAATGGAGTGAGGCCTTACATGCCTTTGGGCGACCTGCGCACCCAACTGCTATATCCATCAGTTCGGCACTTGGTTTTGTCCTTGTGAAGGCTATGGCTATGATGGTCTTCGCCTTTGGTTTCCAGTCCGCACAGGTCCCAAGTTTTGTGCTGAGGAAGGCACCTTGGGACACTTGCCAGATGAAGAGCTTCGGGAGATGTCCGGATCTTCAAGTATTTCCTATCCAACTCCAAGAGCAGAAAGCCAACCGTGTTCTAAAGAGAGTGCTTTTAGGTTGGAGGCCATCGCTATGTAAAGAGAGTGCTTTTGTTTGTCTTTCTCCGCTCTGAGACTTTCTCGCTTTGGCCTTGGAGAGCTTCCCGATCGCTTCGAAGGCGGTTTCGAGGCGGTGCAGGCGGGGCACCGCCTTTGCAGGACTATGACTAAGTGGAAATCCGCCAGGGTGAGCTTATTTGCAATGTCAATCATGAATTTAGGTTCTTTTTGATTCAGGCGTTGGGGCGCAGGTACCAGTATGGGTTCCAGTATTTTCAGAGGAGAAAGAAGCAGGTCAGGCAAGTCGTGATGCTGATGAATCTGTCCCCGTGTTGAGGATTGGTCGCGGGTACTCTCCCTTGGCGAGCAGCAAAGATTGGCAGCTGCGCGGTGTCTCACCACGAACCTTGGTTGAGGTGATCCCGATTCCAAATATGACTTATGAGGGATTTGGCGCGGACTGGGGCCTGATGCTAAAAAATTGTCACAAACCATCCCCTTGGGCCCTGACATGGATCAGAACAGCTCAAAGGAAGCGAGGAACTGAAGAGTGTCAACAGCGTCAACTTTCCCTGTTGAAGCGCGGAAGAGGGTCAGGCCCAGTGCCAGTAGATGAAAGGCCCTGTGAGGTGATTCACCATTTTTGGGACATGGTTCCACTTAGTGAGTGGTAACTGACTGAGGCGTCCGCGCCTGGTGGTGCTAGACGAGGCCACCAGTGCGCTGCCGCTGCCTGCAGAGCGCTTGGTTTACGAGCAGTTGCCCGGCGGGAGGTGGCAAACTGCCAATGAACATTTGATGACTAGCACACCACAAGATTGTTAAGGCATGCTTTTGCAAAAAAGCGTGCACGGCGTACTGCTCACTACAAACAGTTGTGCCTTGATCCCATTGAGGTTTGCAGCTGACGAGCGCATCGAAGGTTATGTTGGCCACCCAGTCACCCAGTGCCAATAAACCATAAATAAATAAAGCTGATCGAGAACGAAGCTTCAGCTTTCCTTGGATGGGGCTTCAAATTGTCACTGAGGTAGGGTTGGAATTGGGACTCCTCCTCCCTAAGAAGAGGACTTCTATGAGTTTAGCCCAATGATCCCCGAAAGGTTCAGTTGAAGGGCGTTGATGTTATCCTTCACTCTGTGGCTGAGGTTTCTGTTGGACATCGTGTCAGCTTGAGTCAGTACCATGACGTACTCCCGCCGCACTTGAGTTTGTTGAGCAGACACCGCTCAAAGCATTGCGACCGCGTAGGGGCCACGCTAAATCTCCGGACCCAGTTGACCCCAGCAAGCCGCCACCACCACCACCGCCACCACCACGTTTGCGACTGCGACTGCGACTACTGCGACTGCGACTGCGACTACTGCGACTGCGACTGCTGCTGCTGCTGCTGCTGCTGCAGCAACACTGAATGTTTTTGCCTCCGGGTCGGAAACCGAACGTGTAGTCGTGCTAATTGATATATTTCGCACTTTTCCGACCCGGTGCCCATGGATGTCAATGTTCTTAGACGATGATGATGATGATGATGATGGTGATGGTGATGATGATGATGATGATGATAAGGGCCATGAGTGTTCAGGCTCAGGTCATGCCCATGGCCTGAGCTAGTGCGGACCCCCTCCGCCACATGGACAGGGAGATCCAGACGGCCCTGAACTTGGAACTCTTGGCGGGCAGGTCCTACACCCAACTTTTTCGAGATCTTCATCCTGGAGATCCCTTCCACGACCTGATCTGCACCTACCAGTTCAGGTCCTTCAACACAGCGGAGACCTTTGAGATTGCCTTTTGCATCTGGCTCCTCCTCGGGTTCTTGACCTACCTGATCCGTTCTTCCTGCAGGAGAATACGGTCTCGGCACTCAAGGCGGTCCTCCCACGGTCCTTGCATGCGGACCTACCTCTGAACATCTGGAACATCAACACCCTCAGCACAGACAGAAAATCAGTGGTTCCT